ATGGGGAGAAAGAAAAGATGGGAAGAAAGAAAGAAAAAAGAAGGGGAGAGATAGGAGGAAAGAAAGGAAAGAAGAGAGAAAGGGAAAGGGAAGGAAAAAAAGAAGAAAGTGAAGGAGAAAAGGAAGAAAGGAAGAATAAAAAAGAGGGATAAAAAGACACAGAAAAGGATGGAAGAAGGAAAAAGAGAAGATGGCAAATGGAAGAAAGAAGAGACAGTTTTATAACCGATGTTGTAGGTCTTCTTCTGAATGCACACAGACTATGTTATCATTGGCATATTGGAGTTCTATAACCAATGTTGTAGATCTTCTTCTGAATGCACACAGACTATAGTATCATCGACATATTGGAGTTTTATATAACCGATGTTGTAGGTCTTCTTCTGAATGCACACAGACTATGATATCATCAACATATTGGAGTTCTATAACAGATGTTGTAGATCTTCTTCTGAATGCACATAGACTATGATATCATCAACATATTGGAGTTCTATAACAGATGTTGTAGATCTTCTTCTGAATGCACACAGACTATGATATCATCAACATATTGGAGTTCTATAACAGATGTTCTAGGTCTTCTAAATGCACACAGACTATGGTATCGTCGACATATTGGAGTTTTATAACCGATGTTGTAGGTCTTCTTCTGAATGCACACAGACTATGATATCATCAACATATTGGAGTTCTATAACAGATGTTGTAGATCTTCTTCTGAATGCACATAGACTATGATATCATCAACATATTGGAGTTCTATAACAGATGTTGTAGATCTTCTTCTGAATGCACACAGACTATGATATCATCAACATATTGGAGTTCTATAACAGATGTTGTAGATCTTCTGAATGCACATAGACTATGATATCATCAACATATTGGAGTTCTATAACAGATGTTGTAGATCTTCTGAATGCACATAGACTATGATATCATCAACATATTGGAGTTCTATAACAGATGTTGTAGATCTTCTGAATGCACATAGACTATGATATCATCAACATATTGGAGTTCTATAACAGATGTTGTAGATCTTCTTCTGAATGCACATAGACTATGATATCATCAACATATTGGAGTTCTATAACAGATGTTGTAGATCTTCTGAATGCACATAGACTATGATATCATCAACATATTGGAGTTCTATAACAGATGTTGTAGATCTTCTTCTGAATGCACACAGACTATGATATCATCAACATATTGGAGTTCTATAACAGATGTTGTAGATCTTCTTCTGAATGCACATAGACTATGATATCATCAACATATTGGAGTTCTATAACAGATGTTGTAGATCTTCTGAATGCACATAGACTATGATATCATCAACATATTGGAGTTCTATAACAGATGTTGTAGATCTTCTTCTGAATGCACACAGACTATGATATCATCAACATATTGGAGTTCTATAACAGATGTTGTAGATCTTCTTCTGAATGCACATAGACTATGATATCATCAACATATTGGAGTTCTATAACAGATGTTGTAGATCTTCTGAATGCACATAGACTATGATATCATCAACATATTGGAGTTCTATAACAGATGTTGTAGATCTTCTTCTGAATGCACACAGACTATGATATCATCAACATATTGGAGTTCTATAACAGATGTTGTAGATCTTCTTCTGAATGCACACAGACTATGATATCATCAACATATTGGAGTTCTATAACAGATGTTGTAGATCTTCTTCTGAATGCACATAGACTATGATATCATCAACATATTGGAGTTCTATAACAGATGTTGTAGATCTTCTTCTGAATGCACACAGACTATGATATCATCAACATATTGGAGTTCTATAACAGATGTTGTAGATCTTCTGAATGCACATAGACTATGATATCATCAACATATTGGAGTTCTATAACAGATGTTGTAGATCTTCTGAATGCACATAGACTATGATATCATCAACATATTGGAGTTCTATAACAGATGTTGTAGATCTTCTTCTGAATGCACACAGACTATGATATCATCAACATATTGGAGTTCTATAACAGATGTTGTAGATCTTCTTCTGAATGCACATAGACTATGATATCATCAACATATTGGAGTTCTATAACAGATGTTGTAGATCTTCTTCTGAATGTGCACAGACTACGTTGTTCACATCCAGAAGAAGATCTACAACATCGGTTCTATGTCATCAGCATATTGGAGTTCTACAACAGATGTTGTTGTGAGGTTAAATAGTTTGCCATCTGTCCGATAGATAGATGATTTCCAATCCAGTCGGAAGCTTCCCATCAACAAGATGAAGTATCATAGCGAGGAAGATGGAAAATAAGGTTGCGGCAATAACGCCTCCCTGTTTGACACGCAACAACAACAGCAACAACAACAATCTTAATGGGTTATGGGTCGTTCGTTATCCTTTGCAGAGTAATGCATTCCTGAAATATGAACTGCTTCTCTTTCTTTCTCACCTTCTTCTTGCAAACAGCATCCCAAAGGTTAAATATTTAACTCAAGCGCTGAGTTCCTTCCTCCGCTGCTTGTTTATTTTCCAGAAGAATAAGGCAATCTCCTTTCGGGGAGCTCAGCAATGATTAACGAGCCGGAGGAAATGAAAAAAAAGAAACTGGAACATGCAGGCCTGGGTTTTATTCCTCCGCCCACGGGGCTCATTCCTTCCCTTCTTTCTGTGCCAGGGCATACCCAAAATACAGGCTTATTAAAAAACAACATGCCTTAAATGCCTCAAATAGTATGCAATGCTCAGATACAGCCACAAGGAGGCAGTGTATAGCTAGAAAGGATTAGCTATTCGCCACTAGGAATGAGTGTACACAATGCTCAGATTCAGCCACAAGTGGGCATTATAGAGATAGAAAGGATTAGCTATTAGTCTCTAGGGATGAATGTACACAATGCTCAGATTCAGCCACAAGAAGGCAGTGTAAAGCTAGAAAGGATTAGCTATTCCCCACTAGGAATGAATGTACGCAAAAGGGCAGGCTATAGATAGAAAGGATTAGCTATTCGTCTCTAGGGATGAATGTATACAATGCTCAGATTCAGCCACAAGTGGGCAGGCTATAGATAGAAAGGATTAGCTATTCCCCACTAGGAATGAATGTACGCAAAAGGGCAGGCTATAGATAGAAAGGATTAGCTATTCACCACTAGGAATGAATGTACACAATTCTCAGATTCAGCCATAAGTGGGAAGCTATAGATAGAAAGGATTAGCTATTAGTCTCTAGGGATGAATGTACACAATGCTCAGATTCAGCCACAAGAAGGCAGTGTAAAGCTAGAAAGGATTAGCTATTCCCCACTAGGAATGAATGTACGCAAAAGGGCAGGCTATAGATAGAAAGGATTAGCTATTCGTCTCTAGGGATGAATGTATGCAATGCTCAAATTCAGCCACAAGAGGGCAGGCTATAGATAGAAAGGATTAGCTATTAGTCTCTAGGGATGAATGTATACAATGCTCAGATTCAGCCACAAGTCTGTAGATAGAAAGGATTAGCTATTAGTCTCTAGGGATGAATGCACACAATGCTCCAATTCAGCCACAAGAAGGCATTATAGAGATAGAAAGGATTAGCTATTATCCTCTAGGGGTGAATGTACACAATGCTCAGAATCAGCCACAAGAGAGCAGTCTATAGATAGAAAGGATTAGCTATTAGTCTCTAGGGATGAATGTACACAATGCTCAGATTCAGCCACAAGAAGGCAGTGTAAAGCTAGAAAGGATTAGCTATTCCCCACTAGGAATGAATGTACACAAAAGGGCAGGCTATAGATAGAAAGGATCGTCTCTAGGGATTAATGTATGCAATGCTCAAATTCGGCCACAAGAGGGCAGGCTATAGATAGAAAGGATTCGCTATTAGTCTCTAGGGATGAATGTATACAATGCTCAGATTCAGCCACAAGTCTGTAGATAGAAAGGATTAGCTATTAGTCTCTAGGGATGAATGCACACAATGCTCCAATTCAGCCACAAGAAGGCATTATAGAGATAGAAAGGATTAGCTATTATCCTCTAGGGGTGAATGTACACAATGCTCAGAATCAGCCACAAGAGAGCAGTCTATAGATAGAAAGGGTTAGCTATTAGTCTCTAGGGATGATTGTACACAATGCTCAGATTCAGCCACAAGGGGCAGTGTAAAGCTGGAAAGGATTAGCTATTTCCCACTAGGAATGAATGTATGCAATGCTCAGATGCAGCCACAAGAGGGCATTATAGAGATAGAAAGTATTAGCTATTATCCTCTAGTGGTGAATGTACGCAATGCTTAGATGCAGCTACAAGAGGGCATTATATAGAAAGATTAGCTATTATCTTCTAGGGGTGAATGTACGCAATGCTCAGATGCAGCCACAAGAGGGCATTATAGAGATAGAAAGGATTAGCTATTATCTTCTAGGGGTGAATGTACGCAATGCTCAGATGCAGCCACAAGAGGGCATTATAGAGACAGAAAGGATTAGCTATTATCTTCTAGGGGTGAATGTACGCAATGCTCAGGTGCAGCCACAAGAGAGCATTATAGAGACAGAAAGGATTAGCTATTATCTTCTAGGGTTGAATGTATGCAATGCTCAGATGCAGCCACAAGAGGGCATTATAGAGATAGAAAGGATTAGCTATTATCCTCTAGGGTTGAATGTACGCAATGCTCAGATACAGCCACAAGAGGGCATTGTAGAGATAGAAAGGATTAGCTATTAACCTCTAGGGGTAAATCTACGCAATGCTCAGATTCAGCCACAAGAGGGCATTATAGAGCTAGAAAGGGTTAGCTATTATCCTCTAGGGGTGAATGTACACAATGCTCAGAATCAGCCACAAGAGGGCAGTCTATAGATAGAAAGGGTTAGCTATTAGTCTCTATGGATGAATGTACACAGTGCCCAGATGTAGCCACAAGAGGGTAGTCTATAGATAGAAAGGATCAGCTCCAGGTCTGATAGATACCGATGTATTCTTCTTTCAGTACCGGCAGCAGCGACCCATACTGCATTGTGAAAATTGACAACGAAGCCATCATCAGGTAAGCACAATTGTCCATCTTTGCTGTAACATACACAATCGCTATGTCATGTGCAGAATTACCTAAATAACTCCATCCCATTCAGGGCTAGTTCCCAAAAACTATATTAATGTATGTATGCAGTGGTCAGATGCAGCCACAAGAGGGCATGATAGAGATAGACAGGATCAGCTATTAACCTCTAGGGATGAATGTATGCGATGCTTAGATACATCCACAAGAAGGCAGTCTGTAGATAGAAAGGATCAGCTATTAACCTCTAGGGATGAATGTATGCAATGCTCAGATGCATCCACAAGAAGGCAGTCTGTAGATAGAAAGGATCAGCTATTAACCTCTAGGGATGAATGTATGCAATGCTCAGATGCATCCACAAGAAGGCAGTCTGTAGATAGAAAGGATCAGCTATTAACCTCTAGGGATGAATGTATGCAATGCTCAGATGCATCCACAAGAAGGCAGTCTATAGATAGAAAGGATCAGCTATTAACCTCTAGGGATGAATGTATGCAATGCTCAGATGCATCCACAAGAAGGCAGTCTATAGATAGAAAGGATCAGCTATTAACCTCTAGGGATGAATGTATGCAATGCTCAGATGCATCCACAAGAGAGCAGTCTATAGATAGAAAGGATCAGCTTGAATGTATATTTTCACACATTTCTTCCTTTCCTCCCACAGGACGGCAACAGTGTGGAAAACTCTGTTTCCTTTCTGGGGTGAAGAGTACGAGGTCCACGTCCCGCCCACTTTCCGTTGTGTCTCCTTTTACGTCATGGACGAAGACGCCTTGAGGTATGACATCACTTCCTGCGTAGGAGGAGGCATGCCTTTCCTCTGCCTTCCTTTTAAAATCCCATTGGCCTTGTTCTGTCTGGGTTTTACTTCCTGTCCTTCTTTTAGCCGAGATGATGTCATCGGGAAGGTCGACCTCACGCAACGCCTCTTAGCTGAACTTCCAAAAGGTAGGAGTTACTATTATTAATATTATCATTATTATTAATAATATTATTATTATTACAATTATTATTATTACATTATTATTATTATTATTCATTGCACATGTAATTATTACAATTATCATTACAATTTTTATTATTATTACAATTATTATTACGATTATGATTATTATTCTTATTTTATTATTACAGTTATTATTGCAATTATCATTACAATTATTATTAGCATTTCAATTATTATTATTATTATTATTATTATTATTATTATTATTGTATTATTACGATTATAATTAAAATTATCATTACATTAATCATTACAATTATTATTATTACAATTATTAGTATTTCAATTATTATTATTATTATGATTATTATTCTTATTGTATTATTACAATTATTATTACAATTATCATTACAATAATTATTATTACAATTATTAGTATTTCAATTATTGTTATTACAATTATGATGGTTATTCTTGTATTATTTAACAGTTATAATTACAATTATCATTACAATTATTATTATTAGTAGTAGTATTAATATTTCTATTATTATGATGATGATTATTCTTATTGTATTATTACAATTATACTTACAATTATAATTACAATAATCATTACAATTATTATTGTTACAATTATTATTAATATTTCAATTATTATTATTATTATTATTATTATTTTATTATTACAGTTATTATTACAATTATCATTACAATTATTATTGCAATTATTATTAGCATTTCAATTATGATTATGATGATTATTATTCTTATTGTATTATTACAATTATTATTACAATTATCATTACAATTATTATTATCACAATTATTAGTATTTCAATGATGATGATGATTATTATGATGGTTATTCTTATTGTATTATTGCAGTTATTATTACAATTATTATTACAATTATTATTAGTATCTCAATTATTATTATTACGATTATGTTGGTTATTCTTATTCTATTATTTAACAGTTATCATTACAATTATTATTATTAGTAGTAGTAGTAGTATTTCTATTATTATTACGATTATGATGGTTATTTTATTGTATTATTACAATTATCATTACAATTATTATTTGTATCTCAATTATTATTATTATGATTATGATGGTTATTCTTATTCTATTATTTAACAGTTATCATTACAATTATCAATACAATTATTATTATTATTATTATTAGTAGTAGTATTTCTATTATTATTATGATTATGATGGCTATTCTTATTGTATTATTACAATTATCAATACAATTATTATTATTAGTAGTAGTAGTAGTATTTCTATTATGATTATGATTATGATGGCTATTCTTATTGTATTATTACAATCATCAATACAATTATTATTATTATTATTATTAGTAGTAGTAGTAGTAGTATTTCTATTATTATTACGATTATGATGGCTATTCTTATTGTATTATTACAATTATAATTACAATTATTATTTGTATCTCAATTAATGTAAACACATATATACACACACAAAACACATACACAGACTGAGCCACAGCAACACATGGCAGGGGACGGCTAGTACGTACATAATAATCATAATACATTCTAATACTAATAACAGATACATAGCCACTTTGAGTCTCTTTTGCGGATAGTAAAAAATCAGGGTGTGTGTATCTATCTATCTATCTATCTATCTATCTATCTATCTATCTATCTATCTATCCAATAGTAATAGTAACATTAATAAATTGGATGCAGGGCAGAGCGGATGGGTGAACCTGTCGGAAGTGGATCCAGACGAAGAGGTTCAAGGGGAGATCCACCTCCGGATGGAGATCCTGGGCAGGAAGCTGCGCTGCACCGTCTTCGACGCCAGGTCAGTCCGCACGGCTCCACTAATGCGGTTTGACGCCGGTAGAGGTTGCCATCTCATTCCATGAGCCTCCCATTCTTGCACCATTATATGGCAGTATGTTGTATGGTCATAGAAGGAAAAGGCATGGGTTACTGTATTATTATGATTTACATTTCTATTTAATATTATTTAATATTGATTCATTATTATTTACTAATTTGTTATTTTCTAATTTGTTATTTCTATTTCTATCTCGTATTTATTATGCATTCTTTATTTATTTATAATTTACTGATATATTATTTATAGTGGGTTGTTGTAGGTTTTTTTCGGGCTATATGGCCATGTTCTAGAGGCATTCTCTCCTGACGTTTCGCCTGCATTTATGGCAAGCATCCTCAGAATTAGTGAGGTCTGTTGGAACTAGTAAAAAGGGTTTAAAAGTTTGCTCTAGGCAATGTCAGGGCATTATATGCTAATCAAGTGGTCAGTTGAAACATTCACACCTAGCTCCAGCAGACAAGAGTCCTTTGTCTTATTCCACAGATATATAAATCCATTTTTCCTACTTCCAACAGACCTCACCACCTCTGAGGATGCTTGCCATAGATGCAGGCGAAAGGTCAGGAGAGAATGCCTCTAGAACATGGCATATAGCCCAAAAAACCTACAACAACCCAGTATATTCCGGCCATGAAAGCCTTCGACAATACATATTATTTATATTTCATATTATTATTTATACTTCATATTTATATGATTGATTATTCATTTATAATTGTTTACTAATATATTATTTTTATTTATATAGAATATCTATACTCAATTATCAGTTTATTATTATATGCTAATGTATTATTTTTATTTATATTAAATATGGAGGCTCCTTTGGAAGCTTTGAAACAGAAGCTGGATGGCCATCTGTCAGGGGTGCTTTGAATGTAATTTTCCCGCTTCTTGGCAGAATGGGGTTTGACTCGATGGCTCACAAGGTCTCTTCTAACTCTATGATTATATGATATTTAATATTATTTCTATTTATATTTGACATTTAATATTATTTATCATCTATTTAAAATTTAATATTATTTATTATCTGTTTATTATTGTTGTTGTTGTTTATTACTATTTATTTATTTATTTTTCCTTCCAGGGATTTGGCTCGGAAAGACCGTAACGGGGCCTCCGACCCCTTTGTCCGCATTCAGTATAATGGCAAAACGCAGGAAACTTCGGTGAGTCGGAAAGCTCAGGAAAGAAATGCAGCTGTGAAATATGCTGTTTGGGAGGGTTTGGTCATCTGTCGGGAGGGATTGGATGGTGTCTTCCTTTAGGGCAGAAGGGGGTTGGACTGGATGGCCTTTGGGAGTCCCTTCCAACTCTGGGATTCTATTATTATTATTATTATTATTATTATTATTATTATTATTATTATTACATCTTGTTGATATAGAGACAGGAACAATAGATAGAGCTATATGTGATGAGTGTATCCCAGCCACAGAGGGGAGACACCATCTGATCCCTCCCGTTGGATGTCCATCCGCATGCTTCCTCTTGCCTCTCCTTGCAGGTGGTGAAGAGGTCTTGCTTTCCCCGCTGGAACCAGACTTTTGACTTCGACCTGGAGGAGGATTCCTTTGCAGCCGAGGAGAAGCGCTTCTGCGCCATTGAAGTCTGGGACTGGGATCTTGCCCGTAGGAACGACTTCCTGGGGAAAGTGAGTCCCAAAGAGAGGGATCCCATTGGGAGAGCAAACATCTGGGAATTTGTGCTGCATTCACCACTCTAAGCTGAGATTGCAATGGCTGTGCATCTCCAATCGAGAGATACAAGCAGGACAGAAATAATAATAATAATAATAATAATAATAATAATAATAATAATATAGTCAAGATACAGGGTTCACTGGTATCCACCATTTTTGGTGTCCTCTGAGCCGGACTGTTCTATGGCATGCTTCTGGTTCAAATAATAATAATAATAATAATAATAATAATAATAATAATAATAACAATAATGCAATTGCGAGACATACAAGCGGAACAGAAATAATAATAATAATAATAATAATAATAATAATAATAATAGTAGTAGTATTGCAATGGTTTTGCATCTCCAATGGAGAGATATAATAGAGGAGAGAAATAATAATAATAATAATAATAATAATAATAATTTCTCTCCCTCTTGTATCTCTCGATTGGAGATGCAAAGCCATTGCAATACTATTATTATTATTATTATTATTATTTCTGTTCTGCTTGTATGTCTCGCAATTGCATCATCATCATCATTATTATTATTGTTGTTGTTGTTGTTGTTATTATTATATCTCTCAATTGGAGATGCATAGCCATTGCAATACTACTACTACTATTATTATTATTATTATTATTATTATTATTATTATTATTATTTTTTTTTCCCGCTTGTATCTCTCGATTGGAGATGCAAAGCCATTGCAATACATTATTATTATTATTATTATTATTATTATTATTTCTGTTCTGCTTGTATGTCTCGCAATTGCATCATCATCATCATTATTATTATTGTTGTTGTTGTTGTTATTATTATATCTCTCAATTGGAGATGCATAGCCATTGCAATACTACTACTACTATTATTATTATTATTATTATTATTATTTCTGTTCCTGCTTGTATCTCTCGATTGGAGATGTACAGCCATTGCAATCTCATCTTAGCATGGTGAATGCAGCACAAAGGCCCAGCTTCTAGACCATGGCCATATAGACCGAAAAAACCTACAACAACCCAGTGATTCCGGCCATGAAAGCCTTCGACAATACAATAATAATAATAATAATAACTTTATTTATACCCCGCTACCATATTCCCAACAACAACAATAATAGTGCAAAATAATACATAAAGTAGGAGAGAAATAATAATAATAATAATAATAATGCAATTGCGAGACATACAAGCAAGATAGAAATGACAAAGTTTTGGAAAACAATACACCAGACATCACGATTGTGGAAAAGAAAAAAAAATCTAGATTATTGATGTCTCCATTCCGGGTGACAGCCGCATTGAGGAAAAACAACAGGAAAAACTCAGCCGCTATCAAGACCTCAAAATCGAACTGCAAAGGCTCTGGCATAAACCAGTACAGTTGGTCCCAGTGGTCATTGGCGCACTGGGTGCCGTGCCAAAAGATCTCAGCCAGCATTTGGAAACAATACACATGGACAAAATCACGATCTGTCAACTGCAAAAGGCCACCTTACTTGGATCTGCGCACATCATTCGAAAATACATCACACAGTCCTAGACGCTTGGGAAGTGTTCGACTTGTGATTTTGTGATACGAAATCCAGCATATAGATCTTGTTTGCTGTGACATACTGTGCTTTTGTGTCAATAATAATAATAATAATGATAGTATTCCAATGGCTTTGCATCTCCAATCAAGAGATACAAGCGGGAGAGAAATAATAATAATAATATTGCAATTGCGAGATATACAAGCGAGAGAGAAATAATAATAATAATAATAATAATAATAATAATAATAATGCAATTGCGAGACATACAAGCAGGATATTAATAATGAAGACGATGATGATAGTATTACAATGGCTTTGCATTTCCAATCAAGAGATACAAGCGGGAGAGAAATAATAATAATCTTGTTGTTTATCAAATAGAATAATAATAATAATAATAATAATAATAATAATAATAATAATGTATTGTCGAAGGCTTTCATGGCCAGAATCACTGGGTTGTTGTAGGTTTTTTTGGGCTATATGGCCATGGTCTAGAGGCATTCTCATTTTTATTATTGTATTGCTGTTGTTGTGTTTTACTGATGTATTTGGGCTCGGCCTCTTGTAAGCCGCACCGAGTCCTTGGGATAGCGGGGTATTATTATTATTATTATTATTATTATTATTATTATTTCAAAGTGCTGGCCCTATGGCAAGCATACTCACTACCTCTGAGGATGGCCATATAGCCCGAAAAAAACCTACAATAACCCAATAATAATAATAATGCAATGGCTTTGCATCTCCAATCGAGAGATACAAGCAGGGGAGAAATAATAATCATATTGCTATTGTGAGACATACAAGTGGGATAGAAATAATAATAATAATAATAATAATAATAATAATAATAATAATAGTGATAATAAATATCTAAGAAGATTATAGTAAGTATATAAGAAAATATAACATTTATTATTATTATTATAAATATATAAGAAAATAATATATCTATATCTATATGCTTTTCTGGTCTCTCTTTCAGGTGGTGTTTGATATCCAAAGGTTGGAGGCCGTTCTGCGGGAAGAAGGCTGGTTCCTGCTCCGGCCGGAGAAAAACAAGCGCAACCCGGAACAGTGAGTCCGGAGGGAAAGGGGAAAGAAGGAAAGACAGACATACACCCTGGGCCATTCATTCCACATACAAATATTCCCCTCAGAGTTGTTGTAGGTTTTTTCAGGCTATATGGCCATGTTCTAGAGGCATTCTCTCCTGACGTTTCGCCTGCATCTATGGCAAGCATCCTCAGAGGTAGTGAGGTAGTGAGGATGCTTGCCATAGATGCAGGCGAAACGTCAGGAGAGAATGCTTCAGGAACATGGCCATATAGCCCGAAAAAACCTACAACAACCCAGTGATTCTGGCCATGAAAGCCTTTGACAATACATTTCCCTCAGAGCTGCTAAGAGGCAGGCTGTCTGCAATTCCTTACTCCCAAAGACTACGTCCCTGTGGAGGAAATGAAACAGAAACAATAGAACACATTTATTGCAGTGCCTCTACTACACAGTTTAACGTAGCCAACTTGTATATCCAATCCTGTCCCACATGTCCAGCCGTCCCCCATATGCAGGGGATTGTGAGATCCCCAGCATATGGACGAGTGCCACAGGGTGACTCTCATAGTGGCAAAATTCCTCGCAGTGGCAACAAGGCTGAGAAAGCAAATAACCTCTGATAGAGGTATTACTTGAAACCATGTAGATATATACTGTATTAGGACTGTTGGTTTTACTGAAGGGTCTATGGACCGTAATAAAATTAACTAACATGCAAATAAATCCCTGCCATGGCACAAGGAAGGAAAAACAGTGACTGTCATTTAACTGCATGACCCAGAAACAGAGAGAGAGATGGACAACATAAATGGAAGATAGAAAAAATAGATAGATAGATAGATAGATAGATAGATAGATAGATAGATGAAAGATATAGTATTCTGGAGGGTCGCACCCAGAAGGTGTTATTGGGGGACTGCTGTTCAACACCACAGCCTTTGACCTGTGGGGTTCCACAGGGTTCTATACTGTCCCCCATGCTGTTTAATATCTACATGAAGCCGCTGGGTGAGATCATCCGGAGTTTCGGGGTGCGGTGTCATCTGTACGCAGATGATGTCCAACTCTGTCACTCCTTTCCACCTGCTACTAAGGAGGCTGTCGAGGTCCTGAACCGGTGCCTGGCCGCTGTAATGGTCTGGATGCGGGCGAACAAACTGAAATTAAATCCAGACAAGACAGAGGTACTCCTGGTCAGTCGCAAGGCCGAACAGGGTATAGGGTTACAGCCTGTGCTGGACGGGGTCGCACTCCCCTTGAAGGCGCAGGTTCGCAGCTTGGGTGTGACCCTGGATTCATCTGAGCCTGGATCCCCAGGTTTCAGCGGTGACCAGGGGAGCATTTGCACAGCTTAGGCTCGTGCGCCAGCTGCGCCCGTACCTTGGGAAGTCTGACTTGGCCACGGTGGTACACGCTCTGGTCACATCCCGCCTTGACTACTGCAACGCTCTCTACGTGGGGCTGCCCTTGAAGACAGCCCGGAAGCTTCAGCTAGTCCAGCGCGCGGCAGCCATGTTACTAACAGGAGCGGGACGCAGGGAGCACACAACGCCCTTGTTGTTCCAGCTCCACTGGCTGCCGATTTGCTACCGGGCCCAATTTAAGGTGCTGGTGTTATCCTACAAAGCCCTAAACGGTTCCGGCCCAAAATACCTTTCGGACCGCATCTCGGCCTATGAGCCCACGAGGGCCTTGAGATCGTCGGGGGAGGCCCTTCTCTCGATCCCGCCTGCTTCACAGGCACGTCTGGCGGGGACGAGAGAGAGGGCCTTCTCGGTGGTGGCCCCCCGGCTGTGGAACGCTCTCCCTGTTGACATTAGACAGGCGCCCTCCCTTATGTCCTTCCGTAAGAGCTTAAAGACCTGGCTATTCGAGAAGGCATTTAACTGAGTGCTATACTAATTGGTAATGACAACTGGAACGAAATGGATTACGAGATTGGTTACGATTCGATGATGGAACGGAGCGGATTATTTAGTGTAATTTAGATTATTGTGTATTTTGATATGTTGATTTTCTGTTTGTGTTCTATTGTAAACGGTTTTTATATGTTGTACACCGCCGCGAGTCGCCCCAGGGCTGCGAGCGGCGGTCAACAAATGCACCAAATAAATAAATAAATAAATAAATAAATAAAGTAGATAAATAGATAGCAATGGTAGGTAGATATGTAGGTAGGTAAACAATAGATAAATGGCAGATTGATAGATAGTAAATAGATAGGATAGATGAAAGATAGAGAGTAAATAGATAGATAGAACCCAGAGATAGAAGATAGGATAGATAGATAGATAGATAGATAGATAGATAGATAGATAGATAGATAGATAGAAAGAAAGAAAGAAAGAAAGAAAGAAAGACAGACAGACAGAAAGAAAGAAAGAAAGAAAGAAAGAAAGAAAGAAAGAAAGGAAGAAAGAAAGAAAGAAAGAAAGAAAGAAAGAAAGAAAGATGGAAAATAAATTGAAGATAGATAGAAAGATAGATGAATGATACAATGGACAGACCGATAGATGGCTGGATGGATGGATATATAGGTAAGTAGAGAAACAGATGGATAACTAGATGAAAAAGATGATAGATAGATAGATAGATAGATAGATAGATAGATAGATAGATGAAATATAGATATGATAATAATAGAGATAGATAGATAGATAGATAGATAGATAGATAGATAGATAGATAGATAGATAGTGATACAATACTGTGAAGCAAGACTGGTGAAAAATAGGTAGGACAGACAGACAGACAGACAGACAGACAGACAGACAGATGAAAGAAAGAAAGAAAGAAAGAAAGAAAGAAAGAAAGAAAGAAAGAAAGATGGGAAATAAATGGAAGATGGTAGGTAAGTCGGTAGATGAACGATAGGACAGACAGATGAGTGATAGGATAGATAGACAGAAGGATAGATATATGATAGAAAAATAAATGCAAAATAAATAAATGGAAGACAGATAGATAGTTGAAAGACATAGAAGAAAAATAGATAGCGATGGCAGGTAGATAAGTAGGTAGGTAGGTAGATAGGTAGGTAAACAATAGATAAATGACAGATTGATAGATAGTAAATAGATAAGATAGATGAAAGATAGAAGATAGATAGCTAGACAGATGAAAGATAGATAGATTAACTGACAGATAGATAGATACACAGACAGATGAGAGAGAGAGAGAGAGAGAGAGAAAGAAAGAAAGAAAGAAAGAAAGAAAGAAAGAAAGAAAGATGGAAAATAAATTGAAGATAGATAGAAAGATAGATGAATGATACAATGGACAGACCGATAGATGGCTGGATGGATGGATATATAGGTAAGTAGAGAAACAGATGGATAACTAGATGAAAAAGATGATAGATAGATAGATAGATAGATAGATAGATAGATAGATAGATGAAATATAGATATGATAAATAGGATAGATAGATGAAAAATAGATAGATAGATGATAAATAGATAGACCGACAGACAGATAGATAGATAGAAAGATAGATAGATAGATAGATAGATAGATAGATAGATAGATAGATAGATAGATGACACATTGATGAAAATAGATGAAAAATAGATAGGATAAATAGGATAGATAGATGAAAGAAAGAAATATGGAAAATAAATGGAAGATGGTAGGTAGGTAGGTGGGTGGGTGGGTGGGTGAGTGGGCGGATGAATGGATAGATAGATAGATGAAATATAGATAGGTAGATAGATAGATAGATAGGATAGATAGATAGCTAGATGAAAAATAGATAGATAGATAGATAGATAGATAGATAGACAGACAGATAGACAATAGATAAATTCCTTCTCTCTCTTCAGGGCCCACCTGGGATCTTTGCACCTTCAGGTCCAGCTCCGCCAGGAGGTGCTGCTCCCTGCCATTCACTACCAGCCTCTGGTCGAACTGCTCTGCCAGGAAGTCCAAGACGGAGCAAAGGTGGGGCCCCCAGAGGACATCTAGCCCAACCCCTCCTGCAAAATAAGAAGATAGGATCACTATATCATAATCATCATCATTGTCATCATCATCATCCTAGAGTTGGAAGGGACCCCCAAGGCCGTCCAGTCCGACCTCATTACTGCCCTAAAGGAAGACACCATCCAATCCCTCCCAACAGATTCCCATCTGGCCTAATAATAACAACAACAACAACAGGATCCTGGAGTTGGAAGGGACCCCAAAGGCCATCTAGTCCAACCCCCTTCAGCTCCAAAGGAGGATACCATGCAAAGGAGGATACCCGGCAGAGGGTCATCCAAACCTGTCTCCTGTGTAGGGCTTCCCGGTCCCGGTCCTGACCCTGATTGAGGAGACGACGACCTCTGAGCGCCGGCAGGAAGTGTCCGCCACCCTGGTCAAGCTCTTCCTGAGCCACGGCCTGGCCACAGAGTTCCTGGGCCTCCTCTTCCAGATGGAGCTGGAGAGAACCCGTAAGTCTGGCGCCAGGCTCGCTTGCGGGACTTGTAGTTCACCTCCAGGCACCGGGGGTCAAGCCAGCGCCTTCCTTTTGCAGCCGAGGCCAACACCTTGTTCCGCAGCAACTCCCTCGCCTCCAAGGCAATGGAGTCCTTCCTGAAGGTAAGGCTGGACATTTGGTGTGCGAGCCATATGGCCCTTTGTTGGGAGGGATCAGATGTTGCCTTCCTCTATGGCAGTGATAGTGCTCTCATACACAGTTCTCTCAAGTGTATCTGTCTATCTATCTACCTTCTTCCCTCAATTGTATCTCTCCTATCTCTGTACTGGATGGCCCTCTGTTGGGAGGGATCGGGTGGTGCCTTCCTACTTTCAGGTGGTGGGGCTGCCATACCTGCACGGGGTGCTGGGCCCGACCGTCCGCCACGTCTTTGAAGAGAAGCGATATGTGGAACTTGATCCCAACAAAGTGGAGGCGAAGGAGGTTGGGTAAGTAAAGAGAGCGAAGGGGGAAAGCAGGGGCCCTTTTTTAGAGCTGGAGAAGGGAGTAAGCAGGCCTCTTTCCTGTGCCAGGTGCTCCAGCCTGCAGCGGGTGCCGAGCGAGAACCAGATGATAGATCAGAGCGCCCACGCACTGCGCACTTACCTCTCTGGTTTGCTTTCCGCCGCATGCGCCTCCGCCGGAGCGTGTCCTCCACTCCTACGCAAGGCCTTCCGCATCCTCAGCCAGGCCGTCCAAGAACGCTTCCCGGAAGAGGAACACCAGGTCAGTTCGTATCGTCATCGTAAATTAGGAGGAGAAAACATAATCGTCCCAAAAGACACACCGCACTAGAATTCCGTGACAGCAAACTGTCGCAGTAGTGACGCTCTACGAATCCCATCACAACACAGCACACATGCATATGACGTCCAAGTGCCTGGACCGAATCCCATTATTATTATTGTTACTAGCTGGACCCTGCCACGCGTTGCTGTGGTCATGTATGGTTTAGTCCCTCTTCTTTCCCTCTTTGCTTCCATCCTTCCTTCTCTTCTTGCTTCCCTTCCTCTTTCTTTCCTTCTCTCCTTTCTCCTTCCCTTCTTTCCTTCCCTCCTTCTTCTTTCCTTCCCTCCCTTTTTCATTCCTTCCCTCTTTTTTCTTTCCCTTCTTTTTCCTTCCTTCTCCTTCTTTCTTCCTTCCTTCTTTCCTCTTTTCTCCTTTTCTTCTTCCTCCCTTCCTTCCTTCCTTCCTTCCTTCTTTTTTCTTCTCTCTCCTTCCTTCCTTCCTCTCTCTCTTTCTTCCTTCCCTCCTTTTTCTTCCCTTCTTCTTTCTCTCCTTCCTTCACTACCTCCTTTCTTTCCTTTCTTCCTTCCTTCCTTCCTTTTTCCTTCCTCCTCTTTCTTCCTTCTCTTTCTCTCCTTCCCTTCCTCCTTTCTTTCCTTCTTCTTCCTTCCCCCTTCTCTTCTCTCTTCCTTCCCCTTTCCTTCCTCTTTTTCTTTCTCTCTCTTTCCTTCCTTCCCCCTTTTTCTTTCCCTCTTTCTCTCCTCCTTCCTTCCCTTCTCTTTTCTCTCCTTTTTCCTTCTCTCTTTCTTCCTTCTCCTCCTTTTTTCCTTCTCCTTCTTTCTTTCCCTTCCTCTTCTCTCCTTCCTTCTTTCTTCCCTTCCTTCTTTCCTTCCCTCCTTTCCTTCTCTCTCTTTCTTTCCTTCTTTCTTCCTTCCTCCCCCCCCCACTTTTCTTTCCCTTCCTCTTTTCTCCTTTCTTCTTCTCTACCTCTTTCTTTCCTTCCTTCTTTCTCTGGTTTCTTCCTTCCTCTTTTTTTCCATTTCTCCTTCCTTCCTTTTCTTTCTCTCTTTCTTCCTTCTCTACCCTTTCTTTCCTTTCTTTCTCTCCTTCCTTCCTTCTTTCCTCCCTCCTTCTCTGCTTCCTTCCTTCCCCTCCCTCCTTCATTCCTTCCCTTTTTTCCTCCTCCCTCCTTCTCTCCTTCCTTCCTTCCTTTTTGTTCTCCCCCAATACCTGGGGGAGGGGGTCCTGCTCCTCCCTAAAAAGAGATGTTCCTGAGAGAGAGGGAGGGGGGAGAGAGGGAAGAAGAGGAAGAGAGGAGTAAAGAGATGTTCCTGAGAGAGAGGGAGGGGGGAGAGAGAGGGGGGGGAAGATCCTGCACACATACACCTATGTTGTTGTTATTATAATTTTCAGGCTGACAACATATAATTATTATTATTACTATATTATTTATATATTATTATTATCATTATTATTTACAGTAGAGTCTTGCTTATCTGACATAAACAAGCCAGCAGAACGTTGGATAAATGAAAATGTCGGATAATACGGAGTCTCTTCCTGTTACCTGTCCGACGCAGCACTAGACACCTAGAATATTAGCAACAGGGACTCAAAGGGTTAAGACAAGGCAATGCCCCGGGGCTAGAGGGGCCCAGCAGGCATGTAGCTCTCTAGCCCTCTTGAGGAATTTTCACGGGGGAAGTTGGTATCATTGCCGTGTAGCGGGAAGCCAGCGGAAGCGAACAAGCAGTGCCAGTCGTCAGTCGCTCATCAACTGGCGTTGCGGTGAAGGTTAGAGATGAGCGTCCTCATTCCGTTTCCCTCCAAGTGTGAAGTTTGCGCTGTACGAGGGATATCCGGAGAGTAGGGTTACAAGGCATGTTGCTCTCGTGGGGAATTTTTGCGGGAGAAGTTGGTATCATTGCCGTGTAGCGGGAAGCCAGCGGAAGCGAATGAGCAGTGCCAGTTGTCAGTAGCTCATCAACTGACGTTGTGGTGAAGGTTAGAGATGAGCATCCTCATTCCGTTTCCCTCCAAGTGTGAAGTTAGCGCTATAATATGCTACCTAAATGCTGAAGACATGAACGCCGCTGTGATTCATTGCAAAATTATTTCAGTTTATGGAGAGGATGTAAAGTCAAGACAGCATGTGGCAAAATGGGTACGGAATATATTGTCAGACCATGAAAAACTTGGCAGAGCCATCCAAAACAAATGTGGTGGGATGTTAATGGTGGGAGTCTGTCTCCTTCATGACAATGCACGTCTGCACACCACTCATGTACCTGGGCCTGTGGAGGTTTCCCTCCTTCTTTGCTTGTGTTGGGGTTCAGCCTGTGTGTGAACCTGAACCTGACTCTCTGATTGTATTTCCTGATGCCCATGTAGATGTCAGTGTGAATTCTGAGGCCAATTTAGATGATGATGGTTTGAGTAGTGAAAATCCTACAGCCTTGGAAAGCGAAAGTCAAGATTCCCATGAGAACATACATTCCGAGCCGAGCGGAGACAGTTCACTTCCTTTTCCTCCCAGTCTTAGCTCTCCAGAGAATCAGACATCTGGCCTGCCTAATGAGGATAGGCGGGGGCAGATTTGGCAGAGTCGGGGAGAAGCACAATGTTTACGTAGATCAGCCAGATTGAAAGAAATCCAAACAAAATCTTCAGGCGTGTCTCGCAATAGATTTCTTGGCCTTAAATATGCCTGGCCTGAATACAGCTTCAGACCAGGCATCGTTCCAGATTCATGTGCCAGCGTTTGCAGGTCTCCTGATTCAAGTGGCCTTGTTCCTCGGAGGTTTTCTAGTTGTGCTAAGTACGGTTAGGTTCCAGGATTCAGCAGTTTTGCTGTGGGTTTCATAATCTTGTTTATGGACATTTCTTGTTGCTGATTTTTGCTGTGACTTGTTACCTTTGAATTTTTCCTCTAGTTTGTATTCATCTTTCATCAATAAAAAAGGATTGTTTTCCTGAAGCCAAGTGTGGTGGATTGTTATCTGAGGGTCCAGTTTCCTGCTCTGGGTTGCAACAGCTTGCTTCCTTAATTCCTGATAAATGTCTCTCCTTCTCTTTTCTCCTCTCTTGTCAGGACATGAGATTGGTGGCCGTCACCAGCTTCCTCTGCCTACGCTTCTTCTCCCCGGCCATCTTGGCCCCAAAGCTCTTCCACCTCTGGCCGAAGCATCCCGATGCGCGCACCGGGCGCACACTCCTCCTCCTGGCCAAGGCAAGCCCCTCACACTCCTATGATTACTAGCACTAATAATAATAATACTATCAATATTATTATTACTATTACTATTATTCTTACTATTTTGTCTCCCCAAAAATAAGACAGCGTCTTATATTAAGATGCGTTAGGTCTTATTTTCTTATTTTCATAAATTTGGCACACAGGCCTCCCATAACCAATAGAAAATACTAGCAGTGTTTGGTGGACATTGAACTTGAGTTTGGGAGTTGTAGTTCATCTACATCCAGAGACCACTGTAGACTCAAACAATGATGGATCTGGACCAAACTTGGCACAAATACTCAGTATGCCCAAATGTGAACATTGGTGGAGTTTGGGGAAAATAGAATTCTGACATTCGGGAGTTGTAGTTGCTGGGATTTGTAGTTCACCTACAATCACAGAGCATTCTGAATGCCACCAACGATAGACTTGGGCCAAACCTCCCACACAGAACCCCCATGTGGGCCACAGCAACGCGTGGCAGGGGCAGCTAGTAATATATAATTATTAGTATATTATTATTATTCCCACAATGAGAGGCAAGTAACACATTCATTATTATTAGTAGTAGCATTAGTGTTCATATCAATGTTATAATAATAATTCAGTATCTACAAGGAGAGGTGGGTAATATATTCATTATAATTTATATTAGTAGTAGTATTATTACATAATTTAATACCCACAAGGAGAGGAGGGTAGTACATTAATTCTAATTTATAATAATAATATATTATTATTATACCCACAAGGAGAAGCAGGCAATACAATTATTATTATTATTATTATTATTATTATTATTATTATTATTATTATTATTGACACAAAACACAGTATGTCACACCAAATGAGATCTATATGCTGGATTTCGTATCACAAATTATTATTATTATTATTATTACTATTATTATTATTATATAATCTGGGTTGGAATCCACCCTGCGGGACTGAAGCAACACCTGGGATTCAGGTGTGACTCCTGTATAAGTCAGTGTTGGGATTGCAATGCGCTGCATGCTTTGGGGCCAATGTCTCCCCTTGTGTGTGTGTTGCCTTGCAGGCGGTGCAGAGCGTGGGCAACCTGGAGGCCGGAGGGGCCCGAGGGGCCAAGGAAGCCTGGATGCGGCCCCTGCAGCCCTCCATCCGGGAAGGGGCCAGCCAGATGAGGGCCTTCATCCTCCAACTCATCCAGGAAGGCAGGAAAGATGGACAATAGGAGGGAAGGAGGAGGGAAGGAAGGAAGGGGCTTCTTTACTTCCTCTCTCTTTCATCCTCCCCTCCCTTCTTTCATTCTTCCCTTTCTCTTCTCTTCCCTACTTTCCCTCTCACCTTTCTCCCCTTTCCTTCCTTCTTTCCTCCTCTCTTTCATTCCCTCCTTCCCTTTCTTCTCTCCTTTCTTTCGTTCCTTCCCCTCATACCTCCCTCTTCCCTTCCCTCCTTTTCTTTCTTTCTCTTTCTTTCTTCCTTCCTCTTCCCTTCTTTCTTTCCTCCCCTCTACTCATAGCTATCCCCCTTTTCTTTCCCTCCCTCATTTCTTCTTTTCCTCTTCTTTTCTTTCTTTCGTTCCCTCCCCTACCTTTCCCTCTTACCTTCCCTTTCTTTCTTTCTCTTTTTCCCTTCCTTCCTTCCTCTTCATTCTTTCTTCCCCTCCCTCCCTCCTTCCTCTTCCCTTCTTCTCTTTCATTCCCTCTCTCCCTCTTTCGTTCTTCCCTTTCTTCTATCATCCTTTTGTTCCTTCCCCTCTTCTCTTTCTTCCTTTTTCTTTCTCTTCCTTCCTTCCTCTTCCCTTCTTTCTTTCCTCCCCTCTCCTCATACCTATCCCCCTTTTCTTTCCCTCCCTCCCTCCTTTCTTCTCTTCCCTACTTTCTTTCGTTTTCTCCCCTACTTTCCCCTCTCACCTTCCTTTTCTTTCTCTTTTTTCCCTTCCTTCCTCTTTGTTCTCTCTTTCTCTTCCCTTCCTTTCCCTCCTTCCTCTTCCCGTCCTTCTTTCATTCCCTTTCCCTTCTTTTTTCTTCCCTTTCCTTCTCTTCTCTTCCCTACTTTCCCTCCTCTCTTTCTTTCTCCCTTTCCTTCTTCTTTTCCTCTCTTCCTTCTTTCATCCCTTCCCCTCTCCTTTTCTCTTCCTTTTTCCTCTTCCTTCTTTCCCCTCCCTCCTCTCATACCTATCCCCCTTTTCTTTCCCTCCCTCCCTTCTTCTTTTCCTCTTCTCTATCCTTCTTTCTTTTGTTCCCTCCCCTATCTTTCCCTCTTATGTCTCTTCCCTTTTTTCTTTTCCTTCCTTCCTTCCTTTCCTCTTCCCTTCTTTTTCTTTCTTTCGTTCCCTCCCATCATACCTTCACCATTTTCTTTTCCTCCTTCCCTCCCATTCTTTCCATTTTTATTCCTTCCTTCCTTCCTTCTTTCCTCACTCCCTCGCATAACCTTTCCCTCTTGCCTTCTTCTTCTTCCTTCTCTTCTCCTCCCTTCTTTCTCTTCCTCCCCTCCCCTCCTCTTTCGTTTTTTGCTTTCTTCTTCCTTCCTTTCCTATCTTTTTCTCTTTCCTTCCTCTACCCCCCCCCCCAGTACACATCCCACCTAGCAGCAGCCACTTTGCTCCCTTTCTTTCCCAGTGATGTCACAGAGGGCCACTCCACCTGGTCACTCCACACCGCTCCTTTCCTCTATCCTCTGGTTGATCCTTTGGGTCCAAACCTGGCCATTATGTTAAGTTGGGCCATGGAAGATCTCGTGGGCCGTGTTTGGGCCAGATCGGCCTGGCTACAGAGGAGCCTTCGGGGAACAAATTTACAAACAAATTTACAAACAAGTATTGTTAGAGTTCTGAAATTTTTGCCACCAGCGCCCCCTAGTTTTCACCACCAGAACTTTTTGTGTTTGACTCTGGCGCTAACTGTGTTTCGGGGTGTCCCTTTGCAGAGCCGGACCTGCAGGGGGCGCCGCTCCCCTTCCCAGCAGCAAAGGAGGGGCCCTTATTCCTCCACAGGCAAAAAGGCAAAGGGCCACTCCACCCTTCCTCCACCTCCTCCTCCTGCTCCTCCTCCTCCTCAAAGGAGAAGCTCTACTTCTCCTTCAGCAGTGAAGCCCTCTGTTGCTCCAAGGGGCCCGACTCCCAGGTGAGGAGCCTATGCCAAGGCATTCATGCTTCAGTGTATCACAGTATATTCATTATTATTATTATTAATAATAATAATAATAATTAGATAGATCTAATAAATAATAATATTATAGGTTATTTCTATATTATTATTATTGTGCTGGTACGGCTGTACCAGGACCTCCAATTTTATTTGCTTTGTATTGAGTGTTTGCTTGCAGTCCAGGGTTTCAGAGGTTCTACAGAAAGGTGGCTTCCTTTGGTTGCAGTCGTAGGGCAAGTCACCTGTCCATCATCGTTAAGTTTTGGTCCCGCCCCTTGCTCAGGGCAATTGGGAAGGGAAGGGAGCCATTTTTTAGTTAGTCTCAGTAAGGAAAGCTAATGTACAGGACGTGTGCAAGTTTCTCCTCTACAAAAGCTTCAACCCTTAACACTTTCCGGGGGCGAACAGTCTTAAGAGTCTCCAAAGATTTTCAGGGAAACAGCCCTAAAGACCAAAGAACTACATCTGGAGAATCTTACTAGCCTTACTGGTAGGTCCACTCGGCGTTCGAGACGCAATTCAACCCGGTAGCGGAGCCCACATCAGTAAGAATTAGATTACAGTCAGCCTGGGAGAAGTTAAAAAAGGGGATTTTCCTTTAAAGTAAAGAATTAGTTATTGAAGACAATTGCCTGTCCTTCGTGGACAAGATTAGGAAGCCTGGAATAATTTGTTTAACTTTCTGAAGACAAGAGAAGTTTCTGTTTGATTGTTCATTAATAAAGGACTTTGTTATACTTCACAAGCCATCTAAAGACCATTTGTGGTGGAAAACCTCTGAGAACTTCTCTTTGGGGCCCCCTGGCTTCCCGCTGGGCTCAAGTCACGCGTCCTATTTAAAGACAATTATTTACAGGCCCAGCGCGCGACAGAACAATTATTATCATTATTATTTACATATTAGATATTATGGGTATATTATTTTTATATATTATTTTTATATACTATTACTATTTTTATTTAATGTTTATTGCATGTGTGCCTTTTCTTAGTGGCGTACTCTCTGAGCCAATTGCATGAGGGGCATGCATGGGGGTGGGAATGCATTGCAGAAAATCCCTTCCTTGCAGAAAAGCCCCTTCCTGCCCTTGGCTGACATCCTGGCCGCAGAGAAGGTGGACGAGAAGAGCTTCGGCAGCGCCAACGTCCTGCAGGTCATCTACGCCAACGCCGCCGGAGGAGCCGACACCGCCTACCTGCAGTGCAAGGTGGGATTCCCAGAGCTGGAGAAGGAAGAAAGCAGGCCTTCTTCTCTTAGCTTTCCTCTTACGCTGCCGTGCCTGCCTCTCCCGCAGTGCGTGACCGAGCTGCACCAGTGGCTGTCTGCCTTGCGCAAGGCCTGCGCCCGCAACCCGGCCAAGCTGTGCGCCTACCACCCGGGCCTCTTCCGCGGGGACAAGTGGAGCTGCTGTCTCCAAAGGGACCGCGACGGTAGGACAGCCTTGCAATCCCACCATTTAGTATTATACTAGTTGTCCCCTGCCACGCGTTGCTGTGGCCCAGTCTGGTGATCTGGAAAATAAAGTAATGAGAAAGTGTTGGTTTCTAATATATGTAATTCCTTTATGCTTGTGAGTAAACAGTATTTCTTGTTGTTTCTTTGTCAGTGTTGATGTGGAGAGTGTCTGGTTTGCCTACTCTGGAATATGCAACATATCATAGTCCTTCTTTAAGGGTCTCTTTCAAATCTATACTATATCTGTGTGTGTGTGTGAGAATCATATCTATCTATCTATATTTATGACTGGATGGCTCTTTGTCAGGAGGGCTCTGATTACATTTTCTTGCCCTGGTGAAGAGAGTTGGACTGGATGGCCTTAAGTATTTTCTGTTGGTCATGGGGTTCTGTGTGGGAAGTTTGCCCCATTTCTGTCGTTTGTGGGTTTCAGAATGCTCTTTGATTGTAGGTAAACTATAAATCCCAGTAACTAAAATCCCAAATGTCAAGGTCTATTTCCTCCAAACTCCATCTGTGTTCATATTTAGGCATATGGAATTTTTGTGTCAAGTTTGGTCCAGATCCATCATTGTTTGAGTCCACAGTGCTCTCTGGATGTAGGTGAACTACAACTCCCAAACTCAAGGTCAATGCCCACCAAACCCTTCCAGTGTTCTGTTGGTCATGGAAGTCCTGTATGCTGTGTTTGGTTCAATTCCATCATTGGTGGAGTTCAGAATGCTCTTTGATTGTAGGTGAACTATAAATCCCAGCAACTACAACTCCCAAATGTCAAGGTCTATTTCCCTTAAACTCCATCTGTGTTCATATTTGGGCATATGGAATATTCGTGCCAAGTTTGGTCCAGATCCATCATTGTTTGAGTCCACAGTGCTCTCTGGATGTGGGTGAACTATAATTACCAAACTCAAGGTCAATGTCCACCAAACCTTTCCAGTTTTTTCTGTTGGTCATGGGAGCCCTGTGTGCTAAGTTTGGCCCAATTCCATCATTGGTGGAGTTCAGAATGCTCTTTGATTGTAGGTAAACTATAAATCCCAGCAACGACAATTCCCAAATGACAAAATCAATTTTTTTGAGTGGAGGACATAAATTGGACTGTTAGGTGTCTTGTGTCCAAATTTGGTGTCAATTCCCCCAGTGGTTTTTGAGTTCTGATGGTAGCACGAACTAACATTACATTTTTATTTATATAGATAGATTTAGGCATGGGCAATCCATGGTTCTAAAGTACATACAAAACATACCAGGGGGCGCTGGTGCTTTGCTTCTAAAGTGTTGCTAAAGTTCTGGTGGTAAAGATTTCAGAACTCTAACAAAACTTTCAAAATTTCGTTGTAAACTGTCATAAAAATTGCCAGTAATGAAATAATAATGAAATTTTTGAAAGTTTCTGAAATTTTTGCCACCAGAACTTTAGCAACACTTTAGAAGCAAAGCACCAGCGCCCTCTAGTGTTCACCACCAGAACTTTAGTTTTGTAAGTACTGTATATACTCGAGCCCCTTTTTTAGGCTGAAAAAGCTCCCCTCGGCTTATACTCGAGTCAAGGTTATTTATTATTTTACTCTGTTATTAGTATTATTTTTATTTCATGTATTATTTTAATCTCTTTCTTATTATTACATTTACAGTATTTACCCTATTACTATTATTATTACATTTATTATTTTACTCTGTTATTACTGTTACTAGCTGTATGCGCCACACGTTGCTGTGGCCAACCTTCCCTCTTTCTCTCCTTCTTCCACTCCCTCTTTCCTTCCTTCCCCCTTTTTCTTTCACTTCTTCTGTCTCTCTTTTCTTCCTTCTCTCTTTCTTTTTTTCCTTCCCTCCTTCTCCACATCCCTTTCCTTCCTTCTTTCCCTTTTTTCTTCCCTTCTCTCCTTCCTTCCCTCTCTAACTTTCCTTCCCTTTTCTTTCCTCCCTCTTTCTCTCCTTTCTTCCTGCCTTCTCTTAGCTTCCATGCTTCCTTCTCCCTTTCCTTCTTTCTTTCCCTCCCTCTTTTCTTTCTTTCTTTCTTTCTTTCTTTCTTTCTTTCTTTCTTTTTCTCCCCCTTTCTCCCTCTTTCTTCCCTTTCTTTCTTTCTTTCTTTCTTTCTTTCTTTCTTTTTCTCCCCCTTTCTCCCTCTTTCTTCCCTTTTTTTCTGTATTGCCATTTAGCTTTTCATCATTTAGCTTTTTGGGGCTTTCTGCTGTGTCTTTCAGTGCTTTTATGAGTGCTTTTATGAGTGAAGGACATACATTGGGTTGTTAGGTGTCTTGTGTCCAAATTTGGTGTCAATTCCCCCAGTGGTTTTTGAATTCTGTTAATTCCACAAACGAACATTACATTTTTATTTATATAGATTATTGCATTTCTATTATTTACATTATTATTATTATTATTATTACATTTATTACTTTATTATTATTGGAAGGATACGTAAGTACATTTACATTGAAGGAGGTTATAATAATGATTTAATCAGACTTGGGCAGTCTTATCTTAAATGAAAGTTTTATGTAAATATTCAAAAACATTTCACCTCCTGATGCCTCAATTAATGTAATTTGATTGGTATCTATTTTTATTTTGAAATTTACCTGCAGTGGTTGCATTTACTCGAGTCAATCCATTTTCCCAGGTTTTTTTGTGGTAAAATTTGGTGCCTCGGCTTATATTCGGGTCGGCTTATACTCGAGTATATACGGTACTTTAGAACCATTTAGAACCATGGATTGGCCATGCCTCTATCTATCTATCTATCTATCTATCTATCTATCTATCCATCCATCCATCCATCCATCCATCCATCTATCTATCTATCTTATCTATCTATGTATGTATCTTACGGTGTTGCTTTGTTGCTCTGGCAGGTGTGGGCTGCGACAAAACTCGGCATGGCGTGACCCTGCGGGAGTGGAGCGACCCCCTGGACCCCCATCTGGAGGCCCACCTGCTTTTCCGGCACTTGGTTGCCGCCACAGCCCAGGCACCCAGTGGGTGAGTCCACGAGAAGACACGCCCAATCATACCCACAAGAAGATGCGGGTAGTACACAGAATCACAACTGCCCACGATCCGGAGTCACCTTGGCTTCACACCCTCAACTGCATTACACCCTCAGCTCAATGCATTTGGAGAGTATTATTGGTATTATTATTAAGATGACAAAGGGAATTATTAGTACAAAATGGAATTATTATTAATAATAATAATATTAATATGAGGAAAAAGGAAAATTATTATCTATATATATATAAATGCTCTGTGCATAATGAGTACCTTAAAAACAAAAGAACCAACGAAGGAAATCACACCAAACTTGGCAACAAAACATCTCACAACACAAGGAGTGACCATCACTCAAAAAATTATGATTTTGTCATTTGGGAGCTGTAGTTGCTGGGATTGTAGTTCACCTATAATCAAAGAGCATTCTGAACTCCACCAACAATGGAATTGAACCAAACTTGGCACACAGAACTCCCATGACCAACAGAAAATACTGGAAGGGTTTGGTGGGAATTGACCTTGAGTTTGGGAGTTGTAGTTCACCTACATCCAGAGAGCACTGTGGACTCAAACAATGATGGATCTGGATCGAACTTGGTACAAGCACTCAGTATGCCCAAATATGAACACAGATGGAGTTTGGGGAAATACACCTTGATATTTGGGAGTTGTAGTCACTGGGATTCACAGTTCACCTACAATCAAAGAGCATTCTGAACCCCACGAAGGACAGAATCGAGGCAAACTTCCCACACAGAACCCCCAAGACCAACAGAAAATACTTAAGGCCATCCAATCCAACTCCCTTCATCAGGGCAAGAAAATGTAATCAAAGTCCTCCTGATAAAGAGCCATCCAGCCATAGATATAGATATAGATAGATAGATATGATTCACACAGAGAGAGATATAGTATCATAGATTTGAAAGGGACCCTTACAGAAGGACAATGATACGTTGCATGTTCCAGGGTGGGCAAACCAGACACTCTCCACATCAACACTGACAAACAAACATCAAGAAATACTGTTTACCCACAAGCATAAAGACATTACATATATTAGAAACCAACACTTTCTCATTACTTTATTTTCCAGATCAACAGACTGGGCCACAGCAACGCATGGCAGGGGACAGCTAGTTACTATTATTATGAGAAGGGAAATTATTATGACAAAGTGGAATTGTTATTATTATTATTATTATTATTATGACCCCACTTTATCTCCTCCTCTTCTTGACAAGCTGGAATGTGTCCACAGGAAGGTGACTAAAATGATCAAGGGTCTGGAGAACAAGCCCTATGAAGAGTGGCTTAAGGAGCTGGGCATGTTTAGCCTGAAGAAGAGAAGGCCGAGAGGAGATATGATAGCCATGTATAAATATGTAAGAGGAAGCCACAGGGAGGAGGGAGCAAGCTTGTTTTCTGCTTCAAACTACAAGAAAGGAGATTCCATCTAAACATTAGGAAGAACTTCCTGACTGTGAGAGCTGTTCAGCAGTGGAACTCTCTGCCCCGGAGTGTGGTGGAGGCTCCCTCTTTGGAAGCTTTTAAACAGAGGCTGGATGGCCATCTGTCAGGGGTGATTTGAATGCAATATTCCTGCCTCTTGGCAGAATGAGGTTGGACTGAATGGCCAATGAGGTCTCTTCCAACTCTAGGATTCTATGATTCTTCTTATTATTACAAGAAAGGCAATAATTCTGGGTTGTAATAATAATTCCCTTTTCTTATAACAATTATTATTATTCCAGGTTGCAATTAATTATTATTATTATTATTATTATCATCATCATCATTAATAATAATAATAATTACAACCTGGAATAATATTATTCCAGGTTGCAATTTATTATTATTATTATTATCATCATCATCATCATCATCATCATCATCATCATTATTATTATTATTAATAATAATAATTACAACCTGGAATAATAATAATAAGAAAGGGGATTATTATTACAACCTGGAATTATTGTTATTATTATGACAAAGAGAATTACTACTATTATTATTTATATTTATTTATTCCCCACTTTATTTATTTATTTTATTATTTATTTACTCCATTTGTATACCGCATTTATCAGCCTGAGGCGGCGACTCAATGCGGTTTACAATAAAAATAGCAACACTAACAATATATAAGACACACATACACAAACAACACACATATAATCATCAACGCCTCAATTAGAGTCAGATCCCGTTCTCATAGTCCTTTTTCGTTCCTTGTTCAAATGCCGTCTTACTGAGTTAGTTGTCATTGCACAATTATCCGAATGCCTGCTCATAGAGCCACGTCTTAACCCTCCTCCGAAACACCAGCAACGAAGGGGCCTGCCTGATGTCCACTGGTAGGGCATTCCATAGCCGAGGGGCCACCACCGAGAAGGCCCTGTCTCTCGTCCCCGCCAACCGCGCTTGTGACGCTGGCGGGACCGAGAGCAGGGCCTCCCCGGACGATCTTAAGGTCCTCGTCGGTTCATAGGTGGAGATGCGTTCGGAGAGGTAAGTGGGGCCGGAACCGTGTAGGGCTTTATAGGCTAAAGCCAGCACCTTGAATTGTGCCCGGTAGCAGATTGGCAACCAGTGGAGCTGGCTCAACAGGGGGGTGGTATGCTCCCTGAGTGCTGCTCCCGTTAACAACCTGGCTGCCGAGCGCTGTACCATCTGAAGCTTCCGGGCAGTCTTCAAGGGCAACCCCACGTAGAGCGCGTTGCAGTAATCTATACGGGATGTGACAAGAGCGTGGACTACCGTGGCCAAGTCCGACTTCCCAAGATACGGGCGCAGCTGGCGCACGAGCCGAAGCTGTGCAAATGCTCCTCTGGAAACCGCTGAAACTTGGGGTTCCAAGCTTAGCGAAGAATCCAGAGTCACACCCAAGCTGCGAACCTGCGTCTTCAGGGGGAGTGCGACCCCGTCCAACACAGGCTGTAACCCTATACCCTGTTCGGCCTTCCGACTGACCAGGAGTACCTCTGTCTTGTCTGGATTGAGTTTCAATTTGTTCACCCTCATCCAGTCCGACACAGCGGCCAAGCAACGGTTCAGGACCTGGACAGCCTCCTTAGTAGCAGGTGGAAAGGAGTGACAGAGTTGCACATCATCTGCGTACAGATAACATCGTACTCCGAAACTCCGGATGATCTCGCCCAGCGGCTTCATGTAGATGTTAAACAACATGGGAGACAGTATAGAACCCTGAGGAACCCCACAAGACAAAGGTTGTGGGGTTGAACAGGAGTCCCCCAGTAACACCTTCTGAGACCGACCCTCGAGGAATGAGCGGAGCCACTGCAGAACAGTACCTCCAAGACCCATCCCCGCGAGGCGTCCCAGAAGGATACCGTGGTCGACGGTATCGAAGGCCGCTGAGAGGTCGAGCAGCACCAACAGGGACACACTCCCCCTGTCGAGCTCCCGACGTAGATCATCCACTAAGGCGACCAAGGCTGTCTCGGTACCATGCCCCGGCCTAAAGCCAGACTGTGCCGGATCCAGATAATCCGTGTCTACCAAGAATGCCTGGAGTTGTGAGGCCACCACACGTTCCAGGACTTTGCCCAAAAAGGGGAGATTGGAAACAGGCCGATAGTTGACGAATTGAGTGGGGTCCAGTGATGGTTTCTTCAACAGCGGTTTTATTACAGCTTGCTTTAAGCTGGCTGGAATTTTGCCTTCCCGAAGGGAGGCATTAACCACCACCTTCACCCACTCGGCCAATCCCCCTCTGGCCTCCTTTAGAAGCCAGGATGGGCAGGGGTCTAGGATGCATGTGGTTGCTCTCATCCCTCCAAGCACCTCGTCCACATCCTCAGGTTTCACAAATTGAAACGAATCCATCAAAATCGGACAGACAGGTGTTCTCGTCACATCCTCAGAGACTGCCGTTAACATGGTATCCAGGCCCGAACGGATCAAAGCGACTTTGTCCGCAAAGAACCGAGCAAATGCTTCACAGCGGGCCGTCGAGTTGTCAGGGCTCCCATCCGGAGTGGTGGGCTTTAATAGGCCTCTGACAACCCGAAACAGCTCAGCCGGACGGTTCTTTGCGGACGCAATATTGGCCGCAAAGAAGGATTTCTTTGCCGCCTTTATTGCCACGGCATATGCCCTTAGTAGGGCAACAAACCGTGCTCGATTTGACTCGCTCGGATCCGAACGCCACACACGCTCTAGTCTCCTCTTTTTTCGCTTTACCTATTATTATTATTATTATTATTATTATTATTACAAGAAAGGGAATTACAACCTGGAATTATTATTATTTGAAACACCACACAACATGATTAGTACACAGCAAACAAGATCACTATGCTGGTTTTGTATTGGATCACACATTAAACACTTCCCAAGTGTCTAGGGCTATGTGATGTATTATTATTATTATTATTTGATACACCACAAGATGAGTCCACAGCAGACACCCTGCTGGCTGTTGTATTAGATCACACGTCGAGCACTTCCCAAGTGTCTAGGACTGTGTGATGTATCGGAGAATAATGTGTGCAGATCCCAGTAAGGTAGCCTTTTGCAGCTGGCAGATGGTAATCTTGTCAGCGCCGATTGTGTTTAAGTGCAGGCCAAGGTCTTTAGGCACTACACCCATTGCGCCGATCATCACTGGGACCATCTTGACTGGCTAGTGCCAGAGTCTTTGCAGTTCAATCTTTAAATCCTTATATCGTGTCAGCTTTTCCCGTTGTTTTTCTTCAATCCTGCTGTCACCTGGGATTGCTACATCGATGATCCATACTTTGTTTTTTAACACCATCGTGAGGTCAGGAGTTATTATTATTAGGACAAAAAGTATTATTATTATTATTATTATTAGGACAAAGGGAATTATTACAAACTGTAATTATTATTATTAATATGAGGACAAAGGAAAATTATTACTACTATTATTATTAGGACAAACGGAATTACTACTACTACTATGATTATTTATATCTATTTATACCCCACTTTATCTATTATTATTATTATTATTATTTATTATGACAAAGGAAATTATTACTATTATTATTACGAGAAAGGGAATTATTATTACACCCTGGAATAATAATAATAATAATAATAATTATTATTATTATTATTATAGAGATGGTCTCATATTTTAGGGATGCAAAGCAAGCCAATGTGAACAGGCAACTCTTGCACGGCTGCTCTCTAATGTCTTTTGTTCCTCTCTTATAGGGAAAAGTCTATGGAACTGTTGGCTCTAGAAAATGGGGAAAACTTTCCTTCAAAGCAAGGTATGGCTCTGTAGGTCATTCCTTATAGTTTTGCAAAGGAATGCAGTCTTGGGACCCGGAAGCATTTTACGTTATTATCATTATTGTTGATCTTGGAATACTACAGTTCTTATACTGCCTGGAAGAGACTTGTGATAATTAACCTGTTTACCTGAAACAAGTTAACGGAATATTGAAAATAGTATATGAAAGAATATATTGATAATAATATATAAATAACAAGATTAATTATTATATAATTAATAACTAGTATATAAATAATAATTAATATATTATTATATCTTAATTAACAATTATTAATTAAATAATAATTAATATAATACATAATGGTGTAGATAAATAGCATATAAAAATAATAGTATATAAAATATTGATAGTAAAGGTAAAAGTTTCCCCTGATATTAAGTCTAGTCGTGTCCGAGCCTGATGAGTGGTGCTAATCTCCATTTCTAAGCCGAAGAGCCGGCGTTATCCGTAGAGACCTCCAAGGTCATGTGGCTGGCATGACTGCATGGAGTGCCGTTACCTTCCCACTAAAGTGGTACTTATTGATCTACTCACATTTGCATGTTATCAAACTGCTAGGTTGGCAGAAGCTGGGACTAACAGCAGGAGCTCACCCTGCTCCCTGAGTTTGAACTGCCAACCTTTCAGTCGGCAAGTTTGGCAGCTCAGCAGTTTAACCCACTGCGCCACCAGGGGGGCCCAGTGGATATAAATAATATCTAAATAATATTGAAAATAATATCTAGCATATATAAATGACATATAATTCATGATACTAATATATAAATAATATCTAAATAATATTGAAAAGAATATATTAACAATATGCAAATATAATAGTATATAAAATAATCTATTGATAACAATATGAACATATAGATAATATATATATATTAAATATATAAAACCTAATGATCATAATATACAAATAATATATAAATGATGTTGTATAAATAATATATAAAAATAATACTATACATAATAAATAATAGTGTACATAAATAATATATAAAATAATATATTGATCATACTATTATAAAAATATACAAATAATATATAAATAATTATACTAATATATAAGCAAAATATAAATTATATATATTAAATATATAGAAAGTAGTGATCATAATGTATAAATAATATATAAGTAATAATATTGTATATATAACATATAATATATAATAATACTATACAGAATAAATAATAGTGTACATAAATATATAAAAATAGTATATAAAATAATATATTGATCATACTATTAATAATATAAATATATAAAATAATATATAAATAATGATACTAATATACAAGTAATATATAAATAATAAATAAAAATGCCAATAACAATAATAATAATAAAAATAATAATATAGTCTGTTAGAGTGTAATAAAAATGTGGGATGGACAGCACTCAATAATGAATCCCAGCTGGTGCCTTTTGGGCAGAGGTTGGCCCCAGAGAGGCCTGTGGGAGGAGAGACAAGCAATGAATATAAGTCAATGGACTCGCTTTGTGTCTCTCATGGCTTTAGATGCTGACCCTGTGACTGGGAGGCTTTTCGGGATCCTGTGGGATCTGGAAGAGATCCACTCCCGGGAGCGGACCCAGAACAGCCCTCCTTCGGCCGCCCTCCAGGTCTGACGGAAAGGACACCGGAACCATAGGAAGGGGCCCCCAAAGGCCATCCAGCCCAGCCCCTTCCGCCATAAAGACAGCATGACAATGATATCACTCCTATCATCGGAGCCCCTCAGTGGACACTCTAGCTGCCTTTGGGGTTCTTAGGACACCTCCAAAGTCATGTAGCCAGCATGACTGCATGGAGCGCCGTTACCTTCCCACTGGAGCCGTACCTATTTATCTACGCACATTTGCATGTTTTTGAACTGCTAGGTTTGTAGAAGCTGGGGCTGACAGTGGAAGCTCACGCCGCTCCCCACGTTCGAACCTGCAACCTTTCGGTCAACAAGTTCAGCAGCTCAGTGGTTTAATCCTCTGCGGGCTCCCTTGCTCCCTTTATTAGGAAAAGCCTATTAAACATTAAATTGTGTTACGATTTTACAAATTTAGTACCAAAACATCACGTTTTACAACAAATTGAGGAAAAAAAATAGTTCAGTACACAGTAATGTTATATAGTAAATAATTTATTTATGAATTTAGCACCAAAACATCACAATGTATTGGAACAGCTGTGGATCTGGGTGGGAGGCAGATTGCATTGGATGATACAGAGCGAAGCTTGGATAATCGAGACTCTACTGTATGTGTGTGTGTATATATATATATGTGGAATCCTTTTATAATTTGAAATATTTACAAGCCATTTTTTAAATATCGCAGGTACAAATCATATTAACAATGGAGTCATAGCATTATGATGACTTGTACTGCTATAGCTTCTTTTTGAATTATCACAGTCACTTTGTTATATCCTTAAGAGAACATATTATCCAGATACGTGGAGATTGTGTATAAAAAATTAACACAGTGATGATGATTGTTGTCATCGTGATCATGTATTTAAAAGGCAAGATTGCAGTACCTGGTGCTTTACAAATCGAATAACAACAGAGGAGTTCCTTGCCCTCGGGCTTAAGCCTGACACATAAAAAGGAAAAGGAGAAGCAATGAGATATTCGACAATATTCTAACTGTTCTTTATTTATTTATTGTGTCAGGCAACCGAACAGTTGTATTACATTTTTGACAGAACAAACAAACAAACAAACATACAAAAGACACAGAGTTTGCAAGCTTGGTAGTTGATTAAATGTCCTTTGACCAGTATCTGGCCACTTGGAGTGCTTCTGGTGTTGCCACAAGAAGGTGCATGTGGAGGGCTCAGGTTGTATTGCAGCAAGTGGTCTGTAGTTTGCTCTTCTCCACACTCGCATGTCGTGGATTCCACTTTGTGGCCCCATTTCTTGAGGTTGGCTCTGCATCTCATTGTGCCAGAGTGCAGTCTGTTCAGCACCTTCCAAGTCGCCCAGTTTTCTGTGTGCCCAGGGGGGAGCCTCTCATTGGGTATCAGCCATTGATTGAGGTTCTGGGTTTGAGCCTGCCACTTTTGGACTCTTGCTTGCTGAGGTGTTCCAGTGAGTGTCTCTGTACATCTTAGAAAACTATTTCTTGATTTAAGTTGTTGACGTGCTGGCTGATACCCAAACAAGGGATGAGCTGGAGACGTCTCTGCTTTGGTCCTTTCACTATTGGCTGCCACTTCCCGGTGGATGTCAGGTGGTGCGATACCGGCTAAGCAGTGTAATTTCTCCAGTGGTGCAGGGCGCAGACACCCCATGATAATGCGGCATGTCTCATTAAGAGCCACATCCACTGTTTTAGTGTGGTGAGATGTGTTCCACACTGGGCATGCATACTCAGCAGCAGAGTAGCATACCACAAGGGCAGATGTCTTCACTGTGTCTGGTTGTGACCCCCAGGTTGTGCCAGTAAGCTTTCGTATGATATTGTTTCTAGCACCCACTTTTTGCTTGATATTCAGGCAGTGCTTCTTGTAGGTTAGAGCACGGTCCAGGATGACTCCCAGGTATGTGGGTGCGCTGTAATGCTCCAGTGGAATTCCTTCCCAGGTGATCCTCAGAGCTCAGGATGCTTGTCTGTTCTTGAGATGGAAAGCACATGTCTGTGTTTTAGATGGATTAGGAATCATCTGGTTTTCCCTGTAATAGGCAGTAAGAGCACCTAGAGCTTTGGAGAGCTTCTGTTCAACCATCTCAAAGCTCCCTGCTTGAGCAGTAGTGGCACGATCATGGATGGGGCAAGCACGCTTCCCTGAGGCAGGCCGTTCTTCTGTTTCCGCCATCTGCTTCTCTGGCCCTGGAACTCAACAAAAACTCAACTGTTCTAAGGAGGCTCCTATGATAGCGGTGGGCGTTGTGAGTTCAAAGGGCAGGTTTATCATTGAAACATTACAAGGGCATATATATATATATAATACCACTTGACCCCACTTTAAGTGCCGTGGATCAATGCTATGGAATAAGCCATCCTTTCCAGGGGTTGGACTGGATGGCCCTTGAGGGTCCCTTCTGGCTCTATGATCCCGCTATGCACTTCCTCTTGGAGGAATAGCAGACCCTGCAAAAAGGTCATCCCTGCAAGCTATGAGGCCTGATCCAGAATATGAAATGCATAAATAAATAAATAATAATAATAAACTTTATTTATACCCCGCTACCATCTCCCCAATGGGGACTCGGAGTGGCTTACATGGGGCCAAGCCCGGACAACATGTTACAGCAAAATAAAACCAAAACATAAACAAGCAACAAGATCAAAATTACATAGAAAAAAAAGGTATAAATACAGTAACAAAATAACATTCCAATAAACACAATCACGATAACAGTGGGTGAACCTATGGCCTCTTCCTTCCCCTTAGGGTTCTGGGGGAAGATGGGAGCTGCATCTCCTCTGAAAGGTGATGGGAAGTACAATCCCCCTAAAAAGGGTTGCTCTTCTTTGTTATGAATAACCGTTAAATACAGAAACAAGACGGAGAAAAAACACCTTTGGCCTTCTCCTGCATCCCCTTTGGAGTGGTTGACAGGAACGGTAGTCCCCCACCCAACAAAAAGGGAATTCTTCCAAGCTCTATCAGGCCTGACCTGAGTGATTGAACACATAAAGAGGAAGGATAGTATAATAATAATTTATTTATTGGACTGGTCATATGACCATTTCAAAATACAACACAAATAAAATACTCTGGGAGGATAGACTTTTGTTAAAAAAAAACAAAACCCTTTTTGACTTTTGGGAGATGATAGGAACTACAATATCTCTGAGGATGATGGGGACTGAATTCTTGCCTCAGCCAGTAGGGGAAGAGACACAACTGTGGGCCATCTCTTCAGGTCTCTGGGAGAGGGTGGACATTGCATCCCCTCTGAGGGATGATGGGGAGTGTGAAAGAACCAGGACTGCGGCCTACTTTCCAATCAAGCCTGGTCCCCTCACTCTGAAAGAACCGGGACTGAGGTCTTATCTTTCCTCTCAAGCCTGCCCCCCTCACTGTGAAAGAACCGGGACACAAGCCTACTGTCTCAAGCCTAGTTCCCTCACAGTTAAAGGACCGGGACTGAGGATTACGCTCTCCTCTCAAGCCTGGTCCCCTCACTGTGAAAGAACCGGGACTGAAGCCTACTTTCCTCTCAAGCCTGGTCCCCTCACTCTGAAAGAACTGGGACCGCGGCTTACTTTCCTCTCAAGCCTGGTCTCCTCACTCTGAAAGAACCGGTACCGCGGCTTACTTTCCTCTCAAGCCTGGTCTCCTCACTCTGAAAGAACCGGTACTGTGGCCTACTTTACAATCAAGCCTAGTCCCCTCACTGTGAAAGAACCGGTACTGCGGCCTACTTTCCAATCAAGCCTAGTCCCCTCACTGTGAAAGAACCGGTACTGCGGCCTACTTTCCAATCAAGCCTAGTCCCCTCACTGTGAAAGAACCGGTACTGTGGCCTACTTTCCAATCAAGCCTAGTCCCCTCACTGTGAAAGAACCGGTACTGCGGCCTACTTTCCAATCAAGCCTAGTCCCCTCACTGTGAAAGAACCGGTACTGTGGCCTACTTTCCAATCAAGCCTAGTCCCCTCACTGTGAAAGAACCGGTACTGTGGCCTACTTTCCAATCAAGCCTAGTCCCCTCACTGTGAAAGAACCGGTACTGTGGCCTACTTTACAATCAAGCCTAGTCCCCTCACTGTGAAAGAACCGGTACTGTGGCCTACTTTACAATCAAGCCTAGTCCCCTCACTGTGAAAGAACCGGTACTGTGGCCTACTTTACAATCAAGCCTAGTCCCCTCACTGTGAAAGAACCGGTACTGTGGCCTACTTTACAATCAAGCCTAGTCCCCTCACTGTGAAAGAACCGGTACTGTGGCCTACTTTACAATCAAGCCTAGTCCCCTCACTGTGAAAGAACCGGTACTGTGGCCTACTTTACAATCAAGCCTAGTCCCCTCACTGTGAAAGAACCGGTACTGTGGCCTACTTTACAATCAAGCCTAGTCCCCTCACTGTGAAAGAACCGGTACTGTGGCCTACTTTACAATCAAGCCTAGTCCCCTCACTGTGAAAGAACCGGTACTGTGGCCTACTTTACAATCAAGCCTAGTCCCCTCACTGTGAAAGAACCGGTACTGCGGCCTACTTTCCAATCAAGCCTAGTCCCCTCACTGTGAAAGAACCGGTACTGTGGCCTACTTTACAATCAAGCCTAGTCCCCTCACTGTGAAAGAACCGGTACTGCGGCCTACTTTCCAATCAAGCCTAGTCCCCTCACTGTGAAAGAACCGGTACTGTGGCCTACTTTACAATCAAGCCTAGTCCCCTCACTGTGAAAGAACCGGTACTGCGGCCTACTTTACAATCAAGCCTAGTCCCCTCACTGTGAAAGAACCGGTACTGCGGCCTACTTTACAATCAAGCCTAGTCCCCTCACTGTGAAAGAACCGGTACTGTGGCCTACTTTCCAATCAAGCCTAGTCCCCTCACTGTGAAAGAACCGGTACTGTGGCCTACTTTACAATCAAGCCTAGTCCCCTCACTGTGAAAGAACCGGTACTGTGGCCTACTTTACAATCAAGCCTAGTCCCCTCACTGTGAAAGAACCGGTACTGCGGCCTACTTTCCAATCAAGCCTAGTCCCCTCACTGTGAAAGAACCGGTACTGCGGCCTACTTTCCAATCAAGCCTAGTCCCCTCACTGTGAAAGAACCGGTACTGCGGCCTACTTTCCAATCAAGCCTAGTCCCCTCACTGTGAAAGAACCGGTACTGCGGCCTACTTTCCAATCAAGCCTAGTCCCCTCACTGTGAAAGAACCGGTACTGTGGCCTACTTTACAATCAAGCCTAGTCCCCTCACTGTGAAAGAACCGGTACTGTGGCCTACTTTACAATCAAGCCTAGTCCCCTCACTGTGAAAGAACCGGTACTGTGGCCTACTTTACAATCAAGCCTAGTCCCCTCACTGTGAAAGAACCGGTACTGTGGCCTACTTTCCAATCAAGCCTAGTCCCCTCACTGTGAAAGAACCGGTACTGTGGCCTACTTTACAATCAAGCCTAGTCCCCTCACTGTGAAAGAACCGGTACTGCGGCCTACTTTACAATCAAGCCTAGTCCCCTCACTGTGAAAGAACCGGTACTGCGGCCTACTTTCCAATCAAGCCTAGTCCCCTCACTGTGAAAGAACCGGTACTGTGGCCTACTTTCCAATCAAGCCTAGTCCCCTCACTGTGAAAGAACCGGTACTGTGGCCTACTTTACAATCAAGCCTAGTCCCCTCACTGTGAAAGAACCGGTACTGCGGCCTACTTTCCAATCAAGCCTAGTCCCCTCACTGTGAAAGAACCGGTACTGTGGCCTACTTTACAATCAAGCCTAGTCCCCTCACTGTGAAAGAACCGGTACTGCGGCCTACTTTCCAATCAAGCCTAGTCCCCTCACTGTGAAAGAACCGGTACTGTGGCCTACTTTACAATCAAGCCTAGTCCCCTCACTGTGAAAGAACCGGTACTGCGGCCTACTTTCCAATCAAGCCTAGTCCCCTCACTGTGAAAGAACCGGTACTGCGGCCTACTTTCCAATCAAGCCTAGTCCCCTCACTGTGAAAGAACCGGTACTGTGGCCTACTTTCCAATCAAGCCTAGTCCCCTCACTGTGAAAGAACCAGGACTGCGGCCTACTTTCCAATTAAGCCTGTTCCCCTCACTGTGAAAGAACTGGGACTGCGGCCTACTCTTCCCTTGCCCTGTCAGTGTTAAAGATCCAGGACTGCGGCCTACTTTCCAATCAAGCCTGCTCCCCTCACCATGAAAGAACCAGGACTGCGACCTACTCTTTCCCCTCAATCCTGCTCCCCTCACTGTGAAAGATCCAGGACTGCGGCCTACTTTCCAATCAAGCCTGGCCCCCTCACTGTGAAAGAACTGGGTCTGTGGCCAACTCTTTCCTCATCCTGTCAGTGTTAAAGAACCAGGGCTGCGGCCTAGTCTTTCCCCTCAAGCCTGGTCTTCTCACTGTGAAAGAACAGGACTACGGCCTACTTTCCAATGAAGCCTGGTCTGTTCACTGTGAAACAACTGGGATTGCGGCCTACTCTTTCCTTGCCCTGTCAGTGTTAAAGAACCAGTACTGTGGCCTACTTTCCAATCAAGCCTGGTCCGCTCACCACGAAAGAACCAGGACTGCGGCCTACTCTTTCACCTCTAGCCTGGTCCCTTCACTGTGAAAGAACTGGGACTACGGCCTACTCTTTCCCCTCAAGCCTGGTTCCCTCACTGTGAAGGAACCAGGACTGCGGCCTACTCTTCCCTCGTCCTGTCAGCGTTAAAGCACCAGGGCTGCGGCCTAGTCTTTCCCCTGAAGCCTGGCCTCTTTCTGGGCGGAGAGGAGGCTGTGTGAGAGGCTGCGGGCGGCGAGGCGCCTCCCGGGCCGGTTTGGGGGAGGCCCCGGGGGCGGAGCTGGGGCCGAGGCGCCTCTTCTCCGTCCGCAGCCACTGAGCGAGCCCTCCCCCTCCGCCTCCTCCTCCTCCTCTCCCTCCCTCCCTCGGCCTGGGCAGGGCGTCCTCGCAAGATGGCGGCGGTGGAGCTGGAGTGGGTGCCCGAGACGCTCTACAACACCGCCATCTCTGCCGTGGTGGACAGCTACGGGCGCGCCCGGCGGAGGGACATCCGCTCCTTGCCCGAAAACATCCAGTTCGACGTCTACTACAAGGTGGGAAGGAAGGGGGGGAAATGGAGGCCCAGGGAAATGGGGGACCCCCCTCCCCTCCTCTTCCCTTCCCTTCCCTGTGAGGGAAACGAGGGCGCCTGGAGAGAGGTTGGGGTTGGCTTGGGTCTTTTTTCCTCTCCATCTCTTTCCCCCCCGCCTCGTGTTTATATTTATTGTTGTTTATTAGAGGAGGGAGAAATCAGAGCCAGGAAGGGGGAGAGACACCTCCATCTTCCCTTAAAGAGACCCACTCGTGGGAAATCACGATTTCTGGGCCTATAGATAGAGGGATAGGTAGGTTGGACTTGTATATCTTATCTATAGATGGCACATTTCTCTCCCCATACATTATCATTCATACACACATATACAGACACATAAATATACATATATTATCTCTATATATTTCTCTATCTCAGTATATTTCTCTTCCCATACATTCTCATTCACACATACACACATAAATATACATATATTCTCTATCTCAGTATATTTCTCCCCCTATACATTCTCATTCACACATACACACATAAATATACATATATTCTCTATCTCAGTATATTTCTCCCCCTATACATTCTCATTCACACATACACACATAAATATACATATATTCTCTATCTCAGTATATTTCTCCCCCTATACATTCTCATTCACATATACACACATAAATATACATATATTCTCTATCTCAGTATATTTCTCCCCCTATACATTCTCATTCACACATACACACATAAATATACATATATTCTCTATCTCAGTATATTTCTCCCCCTATACATTCTCATTCACACATACACACATAAATATACATATATTCTCTCTATCTCAGTATATTTCTCTCACCATACATTCTCATTCACATATACACACATACATATACACATATTCTCTCTATATTTCTCTGTCTCAGTATATTTCTCTTCCCATACATTCTCATTCACACACACACACACATAAATATACATATATTCTCTCTATATTTCTCTATCGGTATATTTCTCTTCCCATACATTCTCATTCACATATACACACTTATACATATATTCTCTCTATATGTCTCTATCTCAGTATATTTCTCTCTCCGTACATTCTCATTCATACACACACACAGACACATTAATATACATATATTCTCTCCATATGTCTCTATCTCAGTATATTTCTCTCCCCATACATTCTCATTCACATATACACACATAAATATACATATATTCTCTCTCTCTCAGTATATTTCTCTCTATATACATTCTCATTCACACATACACACACATAAATATACATAGACTCTCTATATATTTTCCTATCTCAGTATATTTCTCCCCATACATTCTCATTCACATACACACACACACATATATTCTCTCTATATATTTCTCTATCTCAGTATATTTCTCTCTCCATACATTCTCATTCATACACACGCATACAGACACATAAATATACATATATTCTCTCTAAATTTCTCTGTCTCAGTATATTTCTCTTCCCATACATTCTCATTCACACATACACACATAAATATACATATATTATCTCTATCTTAGTGTATTTCTCCCTATATACATTCTCATTCACATATACACACACATAAATATACATATATTCTCTCTATATTTCCCTGTCTCAGTATATTTCTCTCCCCATACATTCACATATACAGACATAAATATACCTATATTATCTCTATATATTTCCCTATCTCAGTATATTTTTCTTCGCATACATTCTCATTCACACACACACATATACATATATCCCTATATGGATCCATTGTTCTCTCCATACATTCATATACAAACATACAAATCATGTATCCCTATACGTTGGCATATTTCTCTCCCCATACATTCTCATTCATGCACACACATGCAGATACATAAATATCCATATATTCTCTCTGTATATTTCCCTATCTCAGTATATTTCTCTCCCTATACATTCTCATTCACATATACACACACATAAATATACATATATTCTCTCTATATATTTCCCTATCTCAGTATATTTTTCTCCCCATACATTCTCATTCACATACACATAAATATACATATATCCCTATATAGATCCGTTATTCTCTCCATACATTCATATACAAACATAAAGATCGTTTATCCCTATACATTGGCATATTTATCTCCCCATATGTTCTCATTCACACATACACATAAATATATTTATATCCCTATATAGATCCATTATTCTTTCCATATATTCATATACATATACAGATCATTTATCGCCTATACATTGGATTATTTATCTCCCCATACATTCTCATTCACACATACATATAAATATACATATATCCCTATATAGATCCATTATTCTCTCCATACATGCATATACAAACATACAGATCATGTATCCTTATACATTGGCATATTTCTCTCCTCATACATTCTCATTCATATGCACACACATATACATATATTCTCTCTATATATTTCTCAGTACACCCATACACACACCTATGTGTAGAGAGAGAAAGAGAAATATACTGAGATAGAGAAATATATTGAGAGAAATATATAAAGAGAAAATATTTCCATATTTATATATGTGTGTGTGTGTATGTGAATGAGAATGTATGGGGAGAGAAATATACTGAGACATATAGAGAGAATATATAAACTTTGCAGATAAATTGTGTGTGTGTGTGTATGAATACAGTATGGGGAGAGAAATATGCTAATGTGTAGGGATAAATGATCTTTATGTATGTATATGAATGTATGGAAAGAAGAATGGATCTATATATGGACATATATATAGAGAGATCCATTCTTCTTTCCATACATTCATATACATACATACATACACACACACACACACACACTTTGCAGATCAATATGTGTGTGTGTGTGTCTATATATATGTTTATTACTGTATGGGGAGAGAAATATGCCAATATATAGAGATAAATGATCTATATGTATGTATATGAATGTATGGAGAGAAGAATGGATCTATATAGGGACAATATACATACTTTGCACACACACACACACACATACACACAGAGACATATCACACACACATATGAATGAGACTATGGGGAGAGAAAAATGCCAGTGTTTAGGGATAAATGATTTATATGAATATATATGTGTGTGTGTGTGTAGGCACATATATAGAAAGTAAGAGAGAAAGAGGGATGTAGATATAAACTTTGCAGATAAATATATACATATAAATGAGAATGTATGGGGAAAGTAACATGCCACTGTTAAGGGATAAATGATCTATATGTATATATAAATGTATGAGGAGAGAAAAGTGTGTGTGCATATATATATATATATGCTCTTTGCAGATAAATATGTATGTATTTGTATATACATATGAATGAGAATGTATGGAGAGAGAAATATGCCAATGTTTAAGGATAAATTATATGTGTGTGTGTGTGTGTGTGTGTGTGTTTGAGAAGTGTATATAGGGACAGATATATAAAGAAATAGAGTGAAAGAGGGGTGTATATAGAAACTTTGCAGATAAATATGTGTGTATATATGTATATACATATGAATGAGACTGGGGAGAGAATATGCCAATGTATAGGGATTTAATGATCTGTATACATGTATGTATGTATATGAATGTATGGGGAGAGAAATGTATCGATATACGGATATATAGAGAAAATGAACATACGAGTGTGTGTATATATAGGGAGAATGGTAAGTTGTTTATAGATATAGAAAGGAAAAGAGGAACATGCTTTTGTAAAGAGGGAGAGAAATATCTTGTGTATATATAGGGGGAGAGGTGTGTGTATGTGTGTTGGCCCTCTGTATCCATGGATTTTGCATCCATAGGTTCCACCATTCACAGCTTGCAAATCTTCACTTTGCCACTTTTGTATCTGGGACATATCTCTCTACCCTGTTTCAGGTAATGGGATTTGAGCATCCATAGGTTCAGTATCCACAAGGGTCTCCAGTGGATATCCAGGGCCTGCTATATTATGTCCAAGTGTCCAGGTTGAAATGGTTGGGGCTCCATGTTTGGATTAAATGTGAAACTCATATGTCGTAAACGCCTTATAATACACATAGCCTGAAGGTAACTGTATGTATTTCCTGCCAGCATCTGCATATCTCCTCCCGATTTTCCTGTATGCCCTTCCTGTAGAATTGGACCCATCTCTTAGAATGTACCTGCTTCACCTCTTCTCCTTTCCCTACTACATTCTTTTTTTCCTTTTCATGTCTTCTTTGTGGAATCCCTTCATCTGTTTTACCTTTTCTTTACCATTTTGTATCACATCAGCTTTTGAATCACTTCACTTTCTTCTCCACATGCCATCCATTTCTAAAAACTTTGAACTCTGATTTTTATTTTATTTTATTTTTACTTTTTCTAAGAGGCAACTCTTCACTCCTTTTATATATTTTCTTCCTACGCCTTTAAAGAAAATCACTATTCTGTGTACACAGAGAGATCCAAATGTCAGGTTTCCTCCCTCTTCCAGTTTATTATATTTATTTATGCTCCATATTTCTTTTCTTCAGGAATGTTTACTTTAGGAGCTGTTCTTTGGTGTGTTTTAGGCCAGCGTGTTGTTGTTAGTAAAGACTTTGCAGGACTCCTTCATATTTGATTTCTCTCTTTCTCTCTCACTCCCAACTGCAGAGAATGTACAGTTTGGAAAAATAATTGTGGAATGCTATAACTTCCAGTCTTTAACAGCCATAATTCTGGAAATTATAATTAAATATTTAGCATTTATATTGTCTGACCTTTATTTATTTCTCGTGTCAGGGCAGCCAGTCAATTATATTACATTTCTAACAGAACAAAGCAAACAAACAGAGAAAATACAAAATGTGTGAGTTTGGTAGTTGATTAAATGTCCTTTGACCAGTATCTGGCCACTTGGAGTGCTTCTGGTGTTGCTGCAAGAAGGTCCTCCATTGTGCATGTGGCAGGGCTCAGGTTGCATTGCAGCAGGTGGTCAGTGGTTTGCTCCTCTCCGCACTCGCTTGTCGAGG